ACCACAGAGGTGGAGTCACGATGCAGACACACCCCAGGATGGGTCTCCTAGGAAACCAACTCTATGGCGCCTCTGCTCTTGGACATCCACTCAACAGAGCTCAGAAGTCAGTTGTCTGAAGAGACTTCTGTGCTGGCCAGAGGCAGGTCTCAGGCAAGTCAACTGACCTTTCTGTGAACGGCTAAGTGGACAAGCACAGTTGAAGGGCCAGAAAATATTTAAATTAGTTCTTAAAAATTCCTCATGTAGGGAAACGAGCTGACAAGGGCATTAAGTCTGTCAGAGCCTAAGCCAAGGTTTCTGAAGACAACAGCAAACTGAGTTATAACTCAATTCTGACACTGTCTTCCAGGGGTCAAGTATCAGGTCCCAGGTTTAGGAGCTCAGTCCTACAGGACTGACCCTTTAACGCCCAGCACAAGCGAGGCCTCTGCTCTCCAGCCATTAATGAACTGAACTCTCACAAGCCCCTCCACCCTGCCCCTTCAGTGTTAAGTGTGCTGAGAAAACTCAAAAGGATAGAACCTGGAAACATCCAGGTGGAAGAGATGCACAGGGCAGGGTACTGGGGGGAGAAAGCAGCCTTGTGCGCCTTCTGTAATTTCATCCTACAAACCCTCTCCTGCATCTGCAAACTGGAACTCATTGCATCTCTAAAGAGCTTGGCGGAGCTTCATTGCAGCCTACTTCACCTGCTTCTCAGGTGAAACTTCCCCGAAGGCCAGCTCTAATCATGTACATATCTGGGATACTGGTAACACCCCAGTGCTGAGGCCATCTGGGGAACCCTGCCTAACTCGCCTCATGTGTCTGATGGAAAGGAGCCTTGACGGGAAAAGTAAGAACTCACACAAGGCACTAGGAAAGCACTACATCCCCCACCCGTAAGGCAGCAGCTGTTTATTATGGTGTTATCACATGGTGGAATCACGGGGTGACACACTCTTCCTGAGGTTTGCTAAGGTAGGATCTGGAGCCTTCCACATTTATCAGACGCCTTCTCGTTAACGTTCTCAAGCTTTGCAATCCTACTTCCAAACTGCATGGCCCGCTTGGGCAGAAGGGCCGAGGCTGTGAGACCGAGTTCTACAGCTGCCAGGCGTAAGATGAGTTTCTCACCGACCCCACGGGGCAAAGCCAGGTCTGCCTTCTCCCACACCGGCAGCGAATTTAGGAAAGACACGACATTCTCATCCAGGAAAGGAAACCTAAGATTTATTAAAAAAAGAAAAAATGATAGTGACTACTACTGAAAAAAAGTCTATTAGTGATTATATAATTTAATAGGTAAAATTCAACCTCATTAAAAAGGCAAATTTTAAAACATGGCAATTTTATATGCATCATAAAGAATTCTAAAATCTAAATAAATTATTGTCTGTGATATCAAGAAATAATTTCAAGTTGTGTCAGAGGATCCTTGAGGCTGCCCCCATATACAACTTGATCACGAATAACTTATGTTTGATTTGAGCATGCCTACAGAAACTGAACTTTAGGGGCATGAAGCCAACGGAAGGGTTCCCAAAGCCTGGACTTGTAACACTGTAAATAAACAGAACTGTAACAATTTTGTTTATTTACACTTAAATTGCTTGTGCGGCCACAAATTGGTATCCATAACAAATACTACATTTAAAACAGAAATGTTCTGCTCTTTGCTTCTGCACTTTCCCACAAAACCATGGATTTTCTCTGAAGCCGTGTTTTCTTTCCATCACGAGTCCATTCCCATCTTCCTCTGCCCATCCTCAGACACACAACAGCTCTGCTGCACTCACTGTCGTAAACCATTCTCCGTACACACAACAGCTCTGCCGCACTCACTGTCGTAAACCATTCTCCGTACACACAACAGCTCTGCCGCACTCACTGCCGTAAACCATTCTC